CTCCTTGCACACGTCGGTGCCATTGCGGCCCATCGCGATACCGATGTCAGCGCGCTTCAATGCCACACCGTCGTTGACACCATCGCCTGGGGACATAAAACTTACATAAAACGAAAATATATACGTATAATAAAATTGGCGTCTGTATTAAAACTTGGTGTTGCTAACGACTTCGCCCTCGTGAAATAAAAAATATAGCCTATGTTACTTCCAGATAAATTGCCTTTGTAACGGTTTTAAAAGTTTTAAAATCGACCCAGTAGTTTTTGTGTTAATTCAATACATACAAAAAACAAATATTTCCTCTTTATATTACTAGTACAGATTAAAAAAAAAGCATGAACATGCCAACGATAAACCAATTTTTAACATGCCTGTCTTTCCGTAAGCCACGTTAAATTCAGGTTAATTACTAAACTGGACCAAATTTTGTAATGAGTTTAATGAAAATAAGATTTAATTTAATTTCACGACGAAAAAGAAAGCACTAACAAAGGGAAAAATATTTTTTTTGCTGAGTTAACAATACTTTAGTTATATATTTGACAACTAAATACATACCCGTCATGCCGACGATGTTCCCGCGTCTTTGCAGCGACTTTACTATAGATAATTTATGCTTCGGAGTGACGCGGTAGAACACACTCACCTGAAATACATAAAAAAACATTTGTCACCAACACTCAATCTATACTATTATAATAAAGCGTAAACACACACTTCTTTGTTGCCTAAGATGTCAGCAATTACAGCATATTTTTGATTAATTCTTTCCTTAATAAAAAGCCCTACACTTGCGTCACGCTTTAAGCTATATATTTTAACGCCATTAAACTTAGGGGGTAAATATTTTGGATAAAAACACAATGTGGGAAAGAGACCATAAGTTGCTACCAACATCAAGGAAGCAAGGTTGTCATCATGTCATGAAATTTTGACATTTGTAATTGAAAATAACATTTTCATAATTTCATGCGGATGAAGTCGCACGGGAACATCTAGTCATTGATATATACATACTAGCTTCCTTGACTCCGTCCGCGTGGAATTAGAAAAAAAAGTAGCCCATGAGTTCTTCTAATCCAGTGTTTCTCAAAGTGGGCGATAACGCATTGAGGGCATTTGAAACCTAGAGAGGGGCGTTATAGGGCGCCAGAAAAAATTGAGGGCGTTGATATAGTTTAGGGGGCGATGCATAATTTGTAATTTCATTTATTTCATATAGTACTAGCTGTTTTCCTGCGGTTTCATCCGCGTGAGATTATAAAAACTTTATTTTATTGTTTACATTTGTCAAATTATCAATAGGAAATTTCAAAATGACATGACATGACAAACCTTGGCAATCTTGCTTCATTGATGTTGGCAGCTTGTAGTTTATGGTCCCTTTCCCACATTAGGGTGTTTATACAAAATATTAACTCCCTAAGTTTAATGGTGTGAAAATATATAGCCTAAAGCGTGACGTAAGTGTAGGGCTTTTTATTAAAAAAAAGAATTATTCAAAAACATGTTGTAATTGCTGACATCTTAGGCAACAAAGAAGTGTGTGTTTATGCTTTATTATATTAGTATAGATTTTAAATTTCACTAAAATTGTATAAAATGGAGGGCGCTGAAAGAAAATTGATGTTTCAAAGGGGGCTTGTAAAAGAAATAAGTTTGATCTACACTGTTCAAGACTATCCTACATTTATGCCTTTCATGAAGATCCGTCCAGCAGTTTAGGCTACAAACTCTAACAAACACATACTGTACCGACTCCTTAGGGAAAGTTAATGATCACTCAGAGTTAGATATGTTTCCTTATCAATACTTACAGTTTCAATGATCCTGTCCAAGTCGTCATCGGCCATAGTATCGAGCTGGTCACCTGACAGCGACTGTGAGTGTAGAACGTCCAAACCAATCATTTGTGCTGGAAAAGTATATTTAACTTTTTAGATTTTTACTAATTTGGGGAAGTTTTTAAGAAAGAAAGAAGAAAAAGAAGTACTTTTTAAAAAAATGCACTTTTTAAGAAACCAAGCACTTATTTATATGAATATAAATTTTTTTTATATAATAAAAGGTGGCAATCGAGCAAGCGGCCACCTGAATCCATCGAAATGGAAAGCGACCGCTGCACATAGACAGCCGCAATTGCAGATGCGTTGCCTACCCTTAACTGACGGAGGAGGAGACGCACATAAATAGGACATTTCCCCTTCCTATGCGTCTCCTCCACCGTC